TTATTTTTCTGCGATTTTAACTTTATTTTGCAAGAGAAATTCAATGTGCTTCACAAACCTATGCCCTCATTCCCCATTCTCTGCAAAGACACTGATGCTCTGGCCTCTCGTGCCGTCTGGCCCCCCTGTTCCTCTCACTTCCGGGGTCTCTCCCGCCTGATGGCCTCAGGTGCGTGGAGGAGGCCACTCCAGAGTTAGCTGATTCCCTCTGGGGTGTCCTGGAGGCCCTCCAGCCGCGCGTGTGTGTGTGTGTGTGTGTGTGTGCTGGCGTCAGGCATCCTGTAGAAAGGCGGCAGTGCCCCGGCCCCATGCTCCCTGAGATTCCGCTCCCGTCATGATGGGGGAGGCCTGGGGCTTCTGACAAGCTCTCCAGGGGATTCTGACGTAAGAGGCCCAGCCCACCCGGTGAAAAATGCTTCCCTTTTCCTGCTCCAGAGATGGAGACGAGCTCTGACAACCTGAGACGGGGCTAGATCACAGTTTTTACCCTGTGATGGGGAGGCGGGAGGCGGAGCTGCCTTCTAACCACACGCAGAATCCTCCACACTGGGCCCTCAACCCTCATTTACTTGGCTCTGCTTCAGAGCCTTCCATGACCTTATCGTTTTGTTACTGAGTTGTAAAATGTCTTAATATATTCTGGATACAAGTCCTTTATCAGATACATGATTTGCAAATATCTTCTCCCCTTCTGTGGGTCGTCATTTCATTCTTGATGGTATCCTTTGCAACACAGAGACCTTTAATTTTGCTGAATTCCAATTTATCTATTTTTTCTTTTGTTACTTGTGCTTTTACTGTTGTATCTAATACACCACTGCCTTATCGAAGTCCATGGAGATGTACACCTATGTTTCCTTCTAAGAATTTTATAGTTTCACATATAGGGCTTTGATCCATTTGGGGTTAATTTTTGTACATGGCATGAGGTACATTCTTCATTCTTTTGCTTGTAGACACCCAGTTGTCCAGCATCATGTGCTGAAAAGACTGTTCCTGTTGAATTATGTTGATAACTTTGTTGAAAATCAAATGATGAGAACAGTAAAGGTTAATTTCTGGACTCTCAATTCTGTTTCATTGGACCATATATTTATACTATGTCAGTACCACGATGTCTTGATTATTGTAGCAAGTTCTGAAATCTGAAAGAATGAGTCCAATCCTGTTTGTTTGGTTTTTTTGAGATTGTTTTGGCTATGTGGAGATCCTTGAATTTTCATATGAATTTTAAGAACAGGTTGTTAATTTCCGCAAAGAAGGCATCTGAAATTTTGATGGAGATTGTATTGAATCTGAAGATCAATTTGGGGAGTATTAAGTCTTAAGTCTTAACAAGAATTAAGTCTTGTAACCCATGAACTTGGATGTCTTTCTGTTTATTTAAGTCTTTAGTTTCTTTCAGCAGTGTTTTATAGTTTTCAGAGTAATAGTGCTACACTTATTTTGTTACATTTATTACCAGTTATTTCATTCTTGTTGGTGCTATTACAAATGGAATTATTTTCTTAATTTTATTTTTTGATTATTCATTGCAAGTGTACAGAAATACAGTTGATTGCTGTTTCCTGTAACCTATTGAACTCATTTATTCCAATGGTTCATTTTAGTAGATTCCTTAGGATTTTCTATATACAAGATCAGGCCATCTGTAGATGTAGGTTTACTGTAGTAAACTGTAGATTTGCTTTTTCCAATCTAGAGGCCTTTTATTTCATTTTCTTGCCTAATTGCCCTGGTCAGAACCTCTAGTACCATGTTGAATAGAAATGACATGAGCAGACATCCTTGTCTTTTTCCTGATCTCAGGGAATTCAGTTTTTCACCAGTAATTATGGTATTAGCTGTGGATTTTTCATAGCTACTGCTTATCAGGTTGATGAAGTTCTCCTCTAGTCCTAGTTTGTTGAATGTTTTGGTCATGAAGAGGTGTTGTATTTTGTCAGATGCTCCTCTGCATCCACTGAGATGATCATGCTGTTTTTGTCCTTTATTTTATTGATAAGATGTATTAACTACATTAATAGATCTTTTTTTTTTATGTTAACCCAATCTTGTACTCCTGGAATAAATCCCACTTGATCATGGTATTCCTTTACAATCCTTTTTATATCTGTACCCCTTTTTATATGTTGCTGAATCCAGTGAACTAGCTGAGGACTCTGAGGTCTATGTTCATGAGATCTGGCCTCTCTGGTTTCCTTTTCTTGTGGTATCTTTGTCTAGATTTGGTGTCAGGGTAATACTGGCCTCATAGAATGAGTTGGGAATTATTCCCTGCTCCTCTGTTTTTTGGAAGAGTTTGAGATAGATTGGTATTTTTATTTTATTTGCGGGGGGAGGAGGTAATTGCATTTATTTACTTATTCTTTTTTTTTTAATTGAGATACTGGGGATTGAACCCAACACCTCGTGCATGCTAAGCATGCACTCTACTGCTGAGCTATACCCTCCCCCCAGACTGGTATTTTTATTTTTCAAATGTTTGGTAGAATTCACCAATAGATCCGTGTGACCCAAGCTTTCCTATGTGAGTCGTTTTCTGATTGCTGATTTAGTCTCTTTACTTGTCACTGATCTCTTCAGATTGTCTATTTCTTCTTGAGTCAATTTTGGTAGTTTGTGTCTTTCTAGAAATTTGTCCGTCTCATCTGAGTTATTTGATTTGTTGGCATGTAGGTGATCATAGTATTCCTTTACAATCCTTTTTATATCTGTATGGTTGGTAGTAATGTTCCTTCTTTCATTCTCAGTTGTACTAATTTGAGTCTTCTCTTTTTTCTTGGCCAGTCTAGCTAAAATTTTGTCACTTTTAATGATCTTTTCAAAACCCAACTTTTAGTTTCATTGATTTTTCTCTATTGCTTTTCTATTCTCTATTTCATTTGTTTCTGTTCTAATCTGTATTCTTTCTTTCCCTATACTTGCTTTGAATTTAGTTTACTTTTCTTTTTCTAGTTTCTTAAGGTGGGAGGTCAGGTTATGGATTTGAGATCTTTCTTCTTTTTTTATATTTTACAGGTAAAAATTTTCTTCTAAGCACTGCTTTAGCTGAATCCCATAAGTTTTGATATATTATGTCTTCATTTTCATTCATCTCAGAGTATTTTCTAATTTTCTTGTGATTTCTTCTTTGACCCATTGGTTACTTAGGAGTGTATTAGTTTCTGCACATTAGTGAGTTTCCCAAATTTCATTAATTTCAATATCATTCCATTGTGGTTAGAGAACATACTTTGATTTAAATTCTTAGTTCTTTGAACATATTTATAATGACTACTTTAAAATGTACTTCTGTGAAATCCGACATCTGTGTCCTCTCCTGGTGTTTCCTCTTGCCTGCTTTTTCTCCTGTGTATGGGTCACACTTAACTGTTTCTTTGCATATCTCATAATTTTTGTTGAAAGCTGGACATTTTAGGTAATATGCTGTAGCAACTCTACATACTGATTCTTACCCTCTACCACAAGACTTGTTTTGGTTGGTTGTGGGTTCATTTCTTTAGTGACTTGGCTGGACTGTTTTAGCGAAGTCTGTTTCCCCTGCAGCATGGAGCCTCTGAGGGTGCAGGCTTGGGCATGCACACAGTCATGCTAGGTGACAGTGGTTTCAGCAGGGCTCTCTGTGTCTCTTTTGCTGATCTATTAAGCACTCTACCTCTGCTGGTATCACACCCAGCTGATGGGCTCCACTAATCGCCAGCTAATTGTCTGTATTTTTCAGTCTGATTCAATTAAATGTGAACTCCTTTACAGAGGTTGTTTTTTATGCTTATCAGCCTCTTGTTTATTGCTTACCACCAAAATTTTCATTTATTTTGAAAGTGCCCGTAAGCTTAAACTTCCCTATACAATGTTTCACATAAAGTCAGTCGTTTGGAAGAAGCTTTGGAGCTTTCTGTTCTTGTGGATTGCCTTTCTCCCTGGGCAAAATCTCTAAGCCCCTGCTTTAGAGCTGGTGTCAGGGACAGTGACCCAGTTCTGTCAGAGTGACACTCCTGTGTTACGAGCAGGGAGCTGGGCGGGGGTCGTAGCTTCTGGTCCTCTCAGTTTGCGTCTCTGTTGTCAGATCTCTACCTTTTTAGTGATCTGTGGGAGGATGATCAGGGCCCCAATATTCTTGTCCTGCTGTACCTGAGGTACAGCCTCTGTCCAGTGAGTGGGGCTGGCTGTCCTCAATCTCCTGACCACATTCAGCAGGAATTTATTCTCTACACCTTGGAACTGGAGAGGGCTGAGAGACATTGGTGGCCTGGTGAAATGCCATATCCCTTGACTGGATGTGAAGGGGAGAGGTAGCCCCACTTTTTGGACCACGCTCACCTGGAGTGGAGCATCTGTCTGACTGAGCTGGGGCGTGGGGGTTGGCGTAAGAGAGGAAGGGAGCAGGTCATGGCCCAAGTACCACAGACATTCACTGTTAAACATTTAGTAGTTTTTCTCGAATGGATGTTTCTTAATTTTATCTTTACTCTCTTTCTAAATAATACAAGGATCTTAGAATTGTTTGACTTTTTAAAAAATCATACACATACATACAAATATACGCATATGCACACAAACAAAGAATATGCATGTTTCGAATACATATAAATATATATGTATCAAATATGTATAAGTATGTACATACTGTATTTATATAAAGCAGGAATGTGAAATAGAAATCAGCTGGTTACCTACAGTGAAGCTGCCCGAGTTCAACTCCTATTTTTACCACTCATCAGCTGGGCAACCTGAACAAGTCCCTTAACTGCATCGAACCTAGGTTTCTTGAGCCACAGAGCTGAGACACTGATACCTCCCTCACTGGGTTTTTGTGGGAATTAAATGAACTAATGCATGTGAAGTGCCATATACACTATGTATGTGTGTACAGTATGCACACGATACAGGCACAGCACCTGGCGGACAGTGAGTGCTCAGTGAAAAGCAGCTGCCCTAGGACCCGAAGGTGCTTGTTGGTGGCGACTGCTGTTTATTCTCGCTCTCTGTCCTGGCAGTTCCTCTGTGATGAAGGCGCTGGTATTTCTGGGGACTACATTGATCGCGTGGATGAGCCCTTGTCCTGCTCGTATGTGCTGACCATTCGGACTCCTCGGCTCTGCCCTCACCCTCTCCTCCGGCCCCCACCCAGTGCTGCTCCCCAGGCCATTCTCTGTCACCCTGCCCTGCAGCCTGAGGAGTACATGGCCTACATTCAGAGGCAAGCTGGTGAGTAATTAAAAGAGGAAGGAGAGACGTGGGGAGGGACCTGCAGAAGACAAAGTATCGAAGAGCCCAGAGGAACGTGTCCCTGTCCTGCCTACATGCTGTCTTTCAGTAGACTCAAAGCAACACGGAGACAGGGCTACAGGGGAGCTGCACGGCCTGGACCCTCAGACGTGGAGTGAGACCAACCCTGGGGTGGTGCCCCCGAGGAAAGGGGGTAGGCCCTTGTTTCACCTGTTCTGTGAAACCTGTCTGCCTTTCTTCCCTTCTGCAGCCTCACTGTCCTATACACCCAGGAGTGCGTTGTCCTTAACACCCCTGACTGTTGGGGTGGGGCGAAAAAGAACTGTGGTCCCTAATCCCTGAGTAACAGAGGAGGGAAAATAACCCATTCTGTTTGCTTCCTCCCATTTCAGGCTCCTCCCTGTTCCCTGTATTCCAGGTGCAGGGCCAGCCAAGGATGACAACAAGGAAGCAGATTTCTGGAAGATGCTCCACGAGCGAGAGGAACAGGCACCTGAAGGGGAGGAGGTACAGGCTGAGGTGAGAGCCGGCTTCCTGGCTGTCGCTTTGATGAGGCTGAACCTGGGCTTTGGGCTGCAAGGCCGCTTGAACTGAGGCCATTATGATATGATCTCCATCCACCTAGTGATGCAAGCATATACCCAGAGTCACTGCCTGAGGCTGGCATGCATCAGCTTGCATACTTGACTCTGCCCTTCTCTCATCAGGAGCAGGAACCAAACCTGGACGCAGCAGACCCAGCGCCAGGCTCTCCCGATGGTGAGGGAATCCTCCACGTCTCCCTTCCTGGGCGAGCGCAGAGCTAGAGCTGAACACTGGGAGGGAGGTTCAGATTCATTTTTATCAGACTGAGTACTCTTTGTAGACGACAGTTCTATTCAAGGACAGTAGCAGAAGCCAGTGGTTCCGCTGCTTGCTGACTTTGCATCTTGGACAATTTCCCTTAACCTCCATTTCCTCACCCTACGTTAGAGAGCTGTTGTGGGGTTAAATGAATCTAGTTTTACAGTACAATGCCTGGAGCTGAGTAGACAAAAAATGGTTTATATTTGTGGAAAGAAGAGAACAGGATCCAGGGAAAAGGCGTGCTTGGCCCCGGGATCTCTTCTGTAGTCCTAGAAACTGGAGTGGCTGCCGGGAGGACCTCAGCAGTGCATGGAAGAGCAGGGGTCTTGGCAGCTTGTTAGCATCCTTCCCTCTCTCACCTATGAGGCCACCTAAGAACTCTCTGGAGGGGTATGTTGGCCCCTGTCTCACAGACCAGACAGGTAGTTCCTGGAGGCAGGGACTATGTCCTTCCTTGGCCTCCTCAACTCTTCTCCTTAGGAAGTCAAAATAGAATTTAAGACATGACGGGTCCATTCCTATTCTTTCATCTCAGATTTTCAGAACAACGTGCAGGTCAAAGTTATTCGGAGCCCCGCAGACTTGATTCGATTGATAGAGGAGCTGAAGGGTGGAACAAGAAAGGTATGGCCCTGCTCCAGGGAGGGGCAGAACCTGCCTCCCTGCTGGGAGCATTCAGAGACGCACCCCTGACTGGGGCCGATGGAGCCGACTCCCGTCCTTTACTCCTCCTGAGTCCCCACTCCCACTTCCTCCCACCATGGAACCCCAACCGTCTCCCTCTTTCTCCCGATCCCCACCCACCCAGGGGAAGCCCAACTCCGGCCAAGAGCAGCCTGCAGACTATGCTGCAGAAGCCCCTTCCAGGGAACCAGAGGTGAAGGAGAAGGGTGACCCCGAGCATCAGAACGAGGTGGAAGAAGAGGAGGACGACGATGAGGATGAAGACGAAGATGAGGATGAGCGGCAGTTGCTGGGAGAATTTGAGAAGGAACTGGAAGGGATACTGCTCCCGTCGGACCGAGACCGGCTCCGTGCGGAGGTGAAGGCTGGCATGGAGCGGGAGCTGGAGAACATCATCCAGGAGGTGGGCTCCCCGCTTCCTCCCGTGGCTTCCACCGCTGCCTGTGCCTGTGGGGGGACAGGCCCGAGGGCCCGGAAGAAAACAGAGGACAGCACCTCGCTGGCCTGGGGTGCTGGAGCAGGCGCCCTGAACTGCTATTGTTTACTTAATTAAAAAGTGGGGGACGGTGGACAAGGGGGTCAGAGAGAAGAATGAGGCTTAGATATTACTTCCCAGATCCTGACTCTCACTCCCACCCTGGGCCTTCCAGACAGAGAAGGAGCTGGACCCGGAGGGGCTGAAGAAGGAGTCAGAGCGTGATCGGGCTATGCTGGCACTGACTTCCACTCTCAACAAACTCATCAAAAGGCTGGAGGAAAAACAGAGTCCAGAGCTGGTGAAGAAGCACCAGAAGAGGAGGGTTGTCCCCAAAAAGCCTCCCCCGTCCCCCCAACCAGCAGGTGAGAGCTGCCAGATGGGAGGAAACGGCCAGGCCCGTCGTTTATCCCTTCTGAGAACGCTCACTCTCGCTCTTCCTGGAACATTGTTCTCAGCCATTCCCAACACCTCCATCCGTTTGCCCGCTAACCTCCTAGTTGTCCTTTTGGGAAGCAGCTGTTAGAGCCTGTCTGGCTTGCCTCTGTGGCGGTTTTCTGGCTTACTCCTGTACATCCAGTGCCTAGCACTCTGCCTGGCCCCTCGTGGGTGACTGGTAGATATTAACTGGGTGGCAGTGAGCCTGTGTGCCAGACCACACACCTGTGGCGGACTCTGCCTGTCAGTAGTCAGGACTGCACAGGGAGTGGCCCCAGCTGGCGGGGTGTGAACGGGCAGCCCAGCTGCTCATAAGCCAATTGCCTAGACAGACTTAAAGTTCCCCTCTTCTTGCACCCTTTGTGTCCCTTCCGCAGGCCCCGGGGTCAGAGAGACCAGGTGTTACAAATGGAATGTCCTAGTTTCAAACCTTCCATCCCACTGTCTCTATAAACATTGAAATGTCTTTTGAGTCCCAACATGTCAAGGGTGCCAGACCACAGTTTTCCAGCCTGCTTCTTCAATTTCTCTGTAGGCCCAGGTGGCCTCATTTTTGCTTTAGAAAACAGTCAGTTTAGATGATGGGCAGAATTACTGGGTTGGTGTGGGGAAGGGAAACTACACTGATGGGGGGAGCTTTTTGGGTTGGAATGGGGTTGGGGGTGATGGGTGCTAATTTATTTTGAGCCCAGCTCATATCCGTGTTTGTGATGGAATAACTGCCAAAACCCACTGATGTCTTAGGGAGAGGTGACCGCTGCAGCCCTAGCCCTGGAGTCACGGCTCTGCTTTGTGTCTCCCTGTGTGTCTCTCCCTCCAAGAGGAGGATCCTGAGCACAGAGTCCGGGTCCGGGTCACCAAGCTCCGTCACGGAGGCCCCAATCAGGATCTGACTGTCCTCGAGATGAAACGGGAAAACCCACAGCTGAAACAAATCGAGGGGCTGGTGAAGGAGCTGCTGGAGAGGGAGGGACTCACAGCCGAAGGTGGGCCCTGGAGGGCGGGGCTGGATGCAGAGCCATTGGAAGGGCTTGCTGCCTGAAGTGGAGGGGCTGGGAACCTCGGCTGGGGCCCCGGGGGACAGAGGACCTGCGCTGAAGCTCCCCCGCTTCCTCTCCTCTCACTTCCCGTCCTGCTCCTTTCCAGGGAAAATTGAGATCAAGATTGTCCGACCAGGGACTGAAGGGACTGAGGAGGATGCTCGTTGGCTGACTGATGAGGACACAAAAAACCTCAAGGAGATTTTCTTCAATATCCTGGTGAGAGGCACCCCACCCCCGAGTCCTGGCCCCCCAGCCTTCCCTCTCCTCCAGCCCACTGAGGTGTGAAGAGCGAGGGTTAGCCCATCCCGGCCTCGCCACTGTGGTTCTGGGCGTCAGGCCCTCAGCAGAGCCCCACAGGCCACGTGTGGGCCCCACTCCTGCCTGCCCGCCATGCACCGATCTCCAGACCCCCAAGCGCCCAGTGCCTCCCTTGGCTCCCACTCACCCGCATGCCCTCCTGCCAGGTGCAGGGAGCTGAGGAGGCGCAGAAGGAGCGGCAGCGGCAGAAAGAGCTGGAGAGGAATTACCGCCGGGTGTGGGGCTCTCGGGGCGGGGAGGGCACTGGGGACCTGGATGAGTTTGACTTCTGAGACCACCACCATGGGCTCGCAAAAGAGCCCAGAGTCTTCCTAGACTGGCCCTGCCGCCACCCCCCACCCCATCTCCCAGGGCCCTAAAGGCGAAACAGCAGAGGAGAGCCGAGCTGTGAGCTGCGAGCTGCGAGCTGTGAGCTGCGACTGAGGCCCAGCTGAGGGCGTGGGGGGCCACGGGGTGAGGGCTGCTGCTGCTGCTGCTGAGGGCCGCCCTCAAGATGTGCTCTCCCAGGCTTCTCCCCACACCTGCTTCCCTCCCTCCCTGGCTTCCCCTGTTGTTGTCCCCAGTCCCCCAACTTGTGGGTTCCTTTCCCCTCGCCACCTAGAGCATCGTGAGCATTTTGGAGTGGAGTAGAGCTGGGGAGCAAGGAGAGCCGGGCAGTTCAGCAGGCCCCCACCCCACTGCTTTTCGCACTCTCCTTCCCCGTCCCCTCGGATTGGCTTTGACTGTCCTGCCCCATTGCCTTCCCATGCTGTTCCCTACATCTTCTGAGTTGAGGCACCTTCCCTCTGTTGCTGAGAAAATGGGAAGAAAGTTGCCCACCACCTCTGACACAGTCCCATGAAAAGGGTAGGTTACAGACCCAGCCACCATCCATGTTCTTGGAAGAATCAGGTTTCTAAATAAAGAACTGGACCATCAAACCATCAATCCTTTTTTTCTTTTAGGAGGGTGGGTGGGGTTGGGGCTCAGGTAGGGAGGAGGCTTGGTGTTCTCTGGATAGAGGGCACTCTGATCCCATTCTGTGCTCCACAGTCCGGGCCGCACCCGTGGGGGTGGGGGACGCAGTATGAGACTAGGACAGTGAAGCGAAGCCTGCTGGCCTGGCCAGGACTGAAACGCTTGTGGTACCGGGGTCCTTCCTTTTCCTCATTTGTCCATTTCTGTTCCTTCTCTTCTCCCCCTTTATATCCCCAAAGCTACACAGTACACACGGCGTTACCCCACCACAGCGGTCCTCCTGCCAAGCTCTCTCCCTGCAGCGTGCTGCAGACGCCATCCCTGCGCCCACCAGCCACACCACTTCAGCATTTCCCCAGAAAGACCTCTGCCCCTCGCCATGCCCAGAGAGAGGGCTGCCGCCCACCCAGGCCAGTTCCTAGTATGCCAAGGGCAGGTGGGCACGGGAAGGTGTCTCCACCTCGTCCTCATTGCCAAATGCAAATCGGGGTTGTCCACCTCCCCCTCTTGCTCCAAATCTCTGAGGTGTGCAGCATTTCTGCTGAAGAGTCCGCTGACTCATGAGATAAGGGATCTCTAGAAGGCATGGAACTCCCAGGTCTCCTAAAGTGGAAAGAGGGATTCAATTGTTGTTAAAGGAAGTTGTATAAGGCTGACCCTCTTCCTACTGAAAGTGCTCATGTACTTAATGAGCATATTATGTTTATATTATTTACAAATGCAAAAGGGTAGGCTTATAAAACCCTGCTTCCCCAGATCCATGTGTGTACGTTGAAGGGAGGGATCTAAGACACTGCCTCAAGTCCAGCTGCAGTCAGAATGCTGGGTTCAAATCCTCACTCTTCCACTTACTATTAGTGGGGCCTTGAACAAGTTATTTAACTTTTCAAGTGCTATTTGCTCATGGTAAATATGGATGATTGTACTGGCCAAAGGTGGTTGTGAGGACTGAATGAGATATAATGTGTTGTGCTCTTAGCAAAGTGTCTGGCCCACAGGAAGTGATCAATAACGAAATAAACCATCTGTTGAGTTCTGAAGAGACAAGATGGTGCTTGGAGGCAAGCACTATAGAAGGATTCCCCCGAGCTGATCAGAAGCTACAGTAGAATCTTTAAGAATGAGAGAGTGGCGAGAGGCTGGGATAGGAGGGTTATCTTTGATTTGATAGGAATAGAGTATTATCAGAAATGGAATTCTACAGTTAGACTTGATTGATATTTTTAAGACATTACATCAAAAAAAAACCCAAAAACCAATCCAGAATACACTTTCTTCTTAAGTGCATGTGGAACATTCCCTAGGATAGACCATGTGCTAGGACAAAAACAAACCTCAGCAATTTAAGAGGATAGAAATTATTTCAGAAGAAGAATCTAGTAATCACAACAAAACCAAAAAAAAAATTATTTCAGGCGTCTTTTCTAATCACAATGGCATGCAGCTAGAAATCAATCATGTCAAGAGAAATGAGAAAAAAACAACTACATGGAGACTAAACAAAATACTACTAAAAACCGGTGTGGCAATGGTAAAATCAAAGATGAAATTTCAAAATACCTTGAGACAAATGACAATGAAAACACAACCATACAAAATCTATGGGATGCAGCAAAAGCAATCCTTAGGGGAAGTTCATAGCAATACAGGCGTTCCTCAAAAAACAAGAAAAATCTCAAATAATCAACCCAACCTACCACCTAAAAGAATTAGAAAAAGAACAAACAAAATGTAAAGTCAGCAGAAGGAAGGAAATAATAAAGATCAGAGAGGAAATAAATAAAAGATTTTTTTAATTTAAAAAAAAAATCAGGAAAACCAAGAACTGGTTCCTTGAAAGGGAAAAACCATTGACAACCTCTGGCCAGGCTCCCCAAGAAATAAAAAGACAGGACCCAAATAAAATAAGAAATGAGAAATAACAACCAGTATCATAGAAATATGAAAAAGCATAAGAAAACACTATAAACAATTAAATACCAACAAATTGGACAACCTAAAAGAAATAGACACGTTTCTAGAAACATATAGCCCACCAAAACCGAATCAAGAAGAAATAATTTGAACAGACCAATTACTAATAGAAATGAAATAGAATCTGAAATTAAAAAAACAAAAAACAAACAAAAAAAACCTCCCTGCAAACAAAAGTCCAGGACCATATGGCTTCACTGGGGAGTTCTACCAAACATACATTAAAAAAAAAAAAACAACAAAAACTCATACTTATCCTTCTCAAACTCTTCCAAAAGATTGAAGAGGACGGAATGCTCCCAAACTCATTCTATGAAGCCACCATCACCTTGGTACCAAAACCAGACAGATATTATTCCCCCCAAAAAGTGCAGATCAATATCTTTGATGAATACGGATGCAACAATTCTCAGCAAAACATTAGCAAACCAACAACACATAAAAAAAAGATCATACACCAAAGTCAAGTTGGATTTATCGCCAGGTCAAGGATAGTTAAACATATGCAAATCAACCAATGCGATACGCCACATCAACAAAAGACAAAAACCACATCTCAATAGATGCAGAAAAAGCATTTGATAAAATTCAACATCCATTCATGATAAAAGCTCTTACCAAAGTGGGTATAGAGGGAACATATCTCACCATAATAAAGCTATTTACAACAAACCCACAGCCAACATAATACTCAACGGTGAAAAGTTGAAAGTCTTCCTGCTAAAATCTGGAACAAGACAAGGATGCCCACTCTCATCACTTCTATTCAACATAGTATTGGAAGTCCTAGCCACTGCATTCAGGCAAGAAATAGAAATAAAAGGATATAGCTTAGTGGTAGAGGGCATGCTTAGCATGGATGAGGTCCTGGGTTAAATCCCCAATACCACCACTTTAAATAAATAAATAAAACTAATTACCTCCCTCCCCCCCACACATACAAGTATCCAAATTGGAAGGGAAGGGGTAAAATTGTCATTATACGTATATGACATGATAGTTTATATAGAAAACCCTGAAGACTCCACACAAAAACCACTAAAGCTGATTAACAAATTCAGCACAGTTAGCAGGATATAAAATTAACATACAGAAATCTGTTACATTTCTTTACATTAACAATGAAATATCAGAAAGTGATAGTTTTAAAAATCCTTTTTAAAGTTGCATCAAAAAATTAAAATACTTAGGAATAAACTTGACCAAGGAAGTGAAAGACTTGTACACAGAGAACAATAAAACACTGATAAAAGAAACTGAAAATGATTCAAAGAAATGGAAAGATATTCCATGAAGAATTAACATTGTTAAAATGGCCATACTACTCAAAGCAATCCACAGATTTAATGCGATCCCTATCAAAGTACTTAGGACAGTTTTCAAGGAACTAAAACAAACAATCCTAAAATTTATATGGAATCACAAAAGACCCAAAATTGCCAAAACAATACTAAGGAAAAAGAATGAAGCTGGAGGCATACCCCTCCCAGACTTCAGACAATACTGCAAAGCTACAGTTATTAAAACAGCATGGTATTGGCACAAAAACAGACATATGGATCAATGCAACAGAATAGAGAGCCCAGAAATAAACCTACACACCTACAGTCAATTAATCTTCAACAAAGGAGGCAAGAATATACAATGGGGAAAAGACAGTCTCTTCAGGAAGGGGTGTTGGGAAAGCTGGACAGTTGCATGTAAATCAATGAAGTTAGAGCACCCCCTCTCACCATACAAAAAAATAAACTCAAATGGCTTAAACAAACATAAGACAGGACACCACAGAATTCCTAGAAGAGAACATAGGCAAAACATTCTCTGACATAAGTCACAGCAATGTTTTCCTAGGTCAGTCTCCCAAGCCAATAGAAATAAAAGCAGAAATAAACAAATGGGACCTAATTAAACTTACAAGCTTTTGCACAGCAAAGGAAACAATAAACCAGGCTGGGAGGAAATATTTACAAATAATGTGACTGACAAGGGCTTAATCTCCAGAATATAAACAGCTCATACAACTCAATAACAAAAAAACCAAACAATCCAATCAAAAAATGGGCAGAAGACCTAAATAGACATTTCTCCAAAGAAGACACAGATGGCATACAAAATGATGCTCAATATCACTAATTATCAGAAAAATGCAAATCAGAAGTACAATGAGGTATCACCTCACACTGGTCAGAATGGCCATCATGAAAAAGTCCACAAATAATAAATGCTGGAGTAGATATGGCGAAAAGGGAACCCTCCTACACTGCTGGTAGAAATTGGTGCAGCCACTATGGAAAACAGGATGGAGATTCCTTAAAAAACTAAAAATAGAGTTGCCATATGACCCAGCAATCCCACTCCTGGGCATATATCCAGAGAAAACTCTAATTTGAAAAGATACAAGCACCCCGGTGTTCATACAGCAGCACTATTCACAACAGCCAAGACACAGAAGCAGCTGAAATGTCCACTGACAGATGATTGGATAAAGAAGTTGTGGTGTGTATATATGTGTACGTATGTATATATACACACACACATATACACACACACACACAACGGAATATTACTCAGCCATAAAATAGAATGAAACAATGCCATCTGCAGCAACATGAGTGGGCATACAGATTATCATACTAAGTGAAGTAAGTCAGACAAAGACAAATATATAGTATCACTTATATGTGGAATCTAAAAAATGATACAAATGAACTTATTTACAAAACAGACAGACTCACAGACATAAGAAAACAAACTTCTGGTTACCAAAGGGGAAAGGCGGTGGGGGAGAGATAAATTAAGAGTTTGGGACTAGCAGATTCAAATTATTATATATAAAATAGATAATTAACAAGGTACTACTGTATATAGCACAGGGAACTATATTCAATATCCTGTAATAAACCATAATGAAAAAGAATATATTTATATGTATAACTGAATCACTATCCTGTATACCAGAAAAACAACACTGTAAATCAACTATAC